TTCTCTCTCTCTCTCTCTCTCTCTCTCTCTCTCTCTCTCTCTCTCTCCCTTTCTCTGTCTTTAAGAATAAAAAAATAAAAATGGTATTAATAATTGCTGATTTTGCCCATTTCCGCCATATTTTTAATTTATCTAGACGTATAAGAGATAAGAGGAAACTTCGAAGAAGGTACTCGTTTCTCGTTGCTCTCGAAGTTGCTCAGAGACGAGTGGGCGATTTATTATCGACAGGACAGCCGTTACTCTTCGTCCGCGGCCGAAACCAGGGCGAATGTCCGTTACAAGCCGCTCCAATTTAGCTTCCAAGAGCTATCGATCGTTCGCGAGGCAACACGTTTCGATCAATCCGACACGATCGCTTTATCTTAATTCCCGCTTATTTTTTATTCCACCACGTCGTGTAGCAGTGGTGGTATTAGCCAGTGGTATTAGCTGTCGATGCGATTTACTTTGAAACGAGCCGCCGCCGCTGCTACCGTCGATCTCCTGATGGATATCGATGAAACAGGCGTCCGATATTTGCATTCGATTTACACACGAAGCGAATTATTATTTATTTTATTCGATGTGTCATTAACAATTGCACTAGCGTATACGCATTGCGGTTATAATTATATGCAAGCCAAAGATTGTAATGCCTGTCACCGATACGTCTTTTTAATATTAATTTGGTATCAATATCTATTAATATTTTTGATAAACTTATTGAAATAACACAATGGAATATATCACTGAATAGACATAATTATCCCATCGTCATGACAGATTGTGCTTAAGTCTATTATATCACAATATTAACAAATGATAATTTAGCATAAGATTGTACATAAATTAATTTTCAAAATATTTTTCTAATGTAGATGCATTATCTTCTTCGAAAAATTAAAAGAATTTTTTATCATTTCTCTTTAAACATCGAAATAATTGTTTCTAAATTTTAGCTTCGTTTAGCACCATCTTTCAATAACGTCGGTTTAATTTTTGTATTTGTCTAGAAGTTGTTTTTAACATAAGGTAAAAATAAAATAATCGTATTTCGTTCTAAACGCTGAAAATACAATTCCTCATCATGTACGTGATTTCTGTGCCTTAATTTGACGTTCTTCAATAAAAAGTGACGATAAAATTAGTCTCTCGTCGTAGTAGAAAGATAATGCTTATAAATATGCATGCGCTGCACTTAAATTCTCCAACGATGTGTTTCATCAGTCTAATGTATGCGGTGGTTTTGCAGATTGCGACGGTTGCACGCTGCACAATCGCTGGTTCATACATAAAATCGACTTTTCGACAGAATATATCGATTTTTATACGTATCGATGTTGCAATTTCAATGACAGATTGAAAAGCTGTCGTAAAATAATGGAAAACAGAATAAATAATTGCATTAATATGATAGATCAAACAATCGTTTACTGACGTGTGTGTCCTGGGCATTACATAAATGTCGCCTTCCAAACGAAACTTGCAATCGATATTCCTAAGTGTCCAGTGTCTCTCAACTACGTTTTAAATAAAAAAACATAAAATTTAAAAAAAAAGAAAAATATAAAACATAATATAAATATATAAAATATATATAAATATATAAATATATGAATGAATTTTTATA